CCAAAAAAAAAAATTCTCTTCATATTCCTTTGTTTTCAAGTCCAAAGGATATGGCCTAAATGAGCTTTAAAGAGAAATTAGTTGAGATCATTAGGAGAAAATTAAGATGAAAATCCAGTGTGATGTGTGTGAGAAAGCTCAAGCTACTGTTTTTTGCTATGCTGATGAGGCAGCTTTGTGCACAAAATGTGATATTAAAGTTCATGCAGTCAATAAATTGGCTAGTAAACATCAAAGGCTTCTTCTTCAGAATCTCTGTAACAAACTTCCTCTTTGTGATATTTGCCAAGTAAGCTAAATCTTATATTTTTTCCTATAACCTTTTCAATGGAATTAAGTAGTTTATTGTTTTTATAGTGTCATATTCTTAGATTTCTTTTGTTGCATGTATCTCCATTTGCGTCCATGTCTAATTACTTGGTTGTTGCTACTGTCTGTTTACTGCTTCATTTTCACTTCCTTTGAGCCAAGGGTCCTTCGGAAACAGCCTACCTACTAAGGGTAAGGTCTGCGTATACTTTACCCTCCCGACCCCACTTCTGTGATTTCATTGGGCTTGTTGTTGTTGTAAGTAGTTTATTGTTAATTGTTCTGTTGGTAGTTGGTGTTTTGACTGTTGGAATTTTAACTTGACTTGTTTCTTGATTAAACTTCTGTTTAGAATTATTAGAGGTAAAGGAACTAAGGAGATTTTTTTCTCTACCTTTTATATATGGCAGCAATAGAAAAGATAAAGTAGCCCTTAGCCATCAAAATCTGCTGCTAGTCCTTAATTTGTTTTCTTCTCGTCCGCAGAGGCGGACACAGGATTTGAAGGTCAAAGGTATACTTTTGCTTTCAACCAAAGTCTGTTTTATATAATGGCACCACTACTAATATATCAGTATTTTCTAAAAACATATACGTGTATTCTCACGAAAAACATATCAGTATTTTCTAAAAACATATATCACTATTAGTTTGTTTTCAACCAAACTAATATATCAGTATTTTCATGAAAAATTTGCCGAACTTTCTGAGTGCCGGTGGCCAGAGGCGGAGCTAGGATTTCAAGCTTATGGGTTAGAGATTCTAACCGTTTTAAGTTACTGGGTTCTAAATTAATAATTTACACATATTCAATAAATTTTTTAAGACAAATACAAAGTTCGCACCAAAGCTACTCGGTTCGACCAAACCTGCTACTGCCATCTAGCTCCACCCTACCGGTGGCCCCTCACCTGATAACATAGGTCCGCATCTGCCCCGCGTAAGCCTGGGTAGGTGGAGTTAGTCGGTACCTATGTTGGTAGAAGATAGCAAGCAGGGGCCGGAGCTAGGGGGTTCATCACCGGAAAATTACACTATATATAGAAGACCCTTATTAATTTTCTTATGTATAAATAATAGATGTTGATCCCTTGGCTTCTTTGCGTTGAATCTCCTTAGTGAAAATACCAGCTCCACCACTACTAGCAGGTATCCGGTGGTATCGTCGAGGTGTGTGCATGTTGTCCCTGATAAAAGAAGTGGAACATTTGCTTACTTGCATAGTTGTATTGTAAGTTTGGAAGTAAAGTGATAAGTTCTCATCTGTAAGGCAATGTAGAAGAGAGAAAAGCTACCTTCAAACTGCTAAAGAGAATGTATAAAGGAATATTTCTGTAAATAAGGTAAGTGAAAAGAATTATGAGACATAAGGGCTCGTTTGGCACGAGGGGGAAGGAATAACTAATCCCCGGATTAAATTTGAGATGAGTTTATACACGTTTGGTTGGGATAAAATCGTGGTATAACTAATCCAAGATTTTTTATCCTAGGATTGTAGTGTTATTTTTGTCCCTACGGAAGGGTGGGATAATAATTCCGGGATAACTGATCCTGGGATAGCTTGTTCTCCAACTAAACGACCCCTAAGAGTATAAAGATAACGCGCACGAAATGCCAAAGTTGAGATTTTCAAGAAACTATAGTTACTGCAGACTTTCTCAGATTACTGAATTTTTGATTCAAGAAAGAGTATAGGAGTCTGATAAAACAGTTTCCGATGATAATAATCAACCATTAGGGAAATACATTTTAAATAACGCGCGATGCATATAGCGCTGATCCTAACTTGGAATTTTGATGCTAAACTATTCTTGAATGCAGGACAAAACAGCCTTCATTTTCTGTGTTGAGGATAGAGCTCTATTTTGTAATGAGTGCGACGAGTCAATTCATTCAGCTGCTAGCAGCTTATCTGCTAAGCACCAACGCTTTCTAGCCACTGGAATTCGGTTAGGTTTGAGCTCAAGCTACTATAATGATGTCGTAAAAAGCCAAATGGAGCGACAACGTCCCAAGCAGAGTTCTCAGCAGCTTTCCATTGAAACAACTGCTCAGCATTTGCCAAATATTGCATTACCATCTTTGGCTGTTGATGGCTTACTAGGTTATTCAGAACGCGAGTCCATTCACAAGGTGAGAGATACTTACTCGATTTATATTTTGGCCAAATACATAGACAACCCCCTAAAATTGTCTCGTTTTTCTATTTAGACACCTTAACTGAAACCTAACTATTCTCCGTGGCGTACCAGCTCACCAAATTTAAGACATGCTTACATGAAGTTGTAGCAACCATTCATGTAAGAAACCTATCACATTGTTCATATTTTGACATAAATTGTTTCATTCTATACAGAAAGAGCAACTTGAACTAGGCGAACTTAAGTGGTTGAAAGACATTGGTCTGTTTGGTGAACCACCGGCAGCTGCAGTACCTGAGCTGTCAATATCTCAATCAAGCAACTTCGACCTACCTCATAAAAAGCCCAGAGTAGAAATCCCAGATAACAATGAGTACTATTTTACAGTCCCGAATCTTGGTTGAACACTTGAACTCCAATGTCAACAAGTTAGTATATGTTACAACACGTTAAAATTAGTTACACTATAGAATATTTATGAAAATATGTAAGTGTGCTTGCATGTATTAAGGAATTAGTGACCTCGTGATTAGTAGCGAAGTCAATACTTTCACCAAAAGTGTTCAAGACTTCATATTATGTATAAAACTAGTATTTGACCTATATAAACAGTGCAATCTTCCGTCAAAAGGGTAATTAACTGACCACCTTTCAATGATTGTAGCTTCGCCCCTGCTCATGATTGGTTACACTATGGAATATTTGCGGAAAACTGTAGGTGTGCTTGCATGTATTAAATAATTAGTGACCTCATGATCAGTGGCTAAGCCAGTACTTTTACTAAAGGTGTTCAAGACTTTATATCATGTATAAAACTAATATTTGACCTATGTACGCAGTATAATTTTCCGTCAAACGGGTGTTCAACTGACCATCCTTCAACGATTGTAGCTTCGCTCCTACTCATGATTGTCAAAATATAGTTTTATTAGTAAGAAAGAAAATTTTAATTTTTCACAACTTAAAAATGATCAACTTAATTATACATAGTGAAGGTTGGAACAAGACTAATGAAGCACAATCTCCACACTTATAACCTACTTTCAAGAATCAATTTTCCATGACCTTCCTACAATTTTCCTTTTCTGACTTCAAAACTTCATATAAGAAGCTCTTAACCATATTATTCAATCACTCAAATCTCTCTAAACAAAATGGCCACATTACTTAACCCCATCTTCTTCGCTTGCATGTACACAAGTTTCATATTTAGCCTTTCAAACCTAAACTCCCGTTCGATCTTTGTCAATGGAAAAACTCTAACATCCGATATTCAAGCTCTACAAGCGATCAAGATGTCAATAGATCCAATTTCAATCTCCTCAGAATCATTCATCAGTAGTTGGGATTTTGCCTTAGACCCTTGTGAGACGACAGGGACAAGTTTCTTAGGCATTCTTTGCACAGTCCCTCTTGACAATAACTCAACAAGCCGGATAATGGAAATCGATTTAGAAGGAGATGAACTAGAGGGGTTCTTAACACCAGCAATAGGAAACTTAACAGAACTTGTTGCTCTAAATCTTGGTAGAAACAAATTCAGAGGACCGGTGCCAGAGACTATTACTAATCTAAGAAAACTCACAAGTCTTCAACTTTACGAGAACTTTTTCTCAGGTAGTCTTGTTAATGGCATTGGTTTTCTAAGGAAACTTGAAGTTCTTGATTTGTCAAATAATAGACTATCTGGTTCAATACCTTCATCTATTACTTCACTTAGAAGTTTAACTCAGTTAGATTTATCTAACAATGAACTGACCGGTAAAATCCCTCAACTTAATGGCTTATGGCAGTTGAATTCATTTGATCTTTCAAATAACCAAATATATGGGAATTTTCCAGAGTTTCCATTGAAGATCAAAACATTATCACTTGGTCATAACTTACTCTCTGGCCACATTTCACCTGTGAATAAACTTCATCGTCTCAGGATTTTAGACCTAAGTGATAACAGGTTTTCAGGAGCAATAAACAAGGGGGTGTTTATGTTGCCTGATATTAGTCACGTGAACGTTTCAGTGAACCGGTTTACTGTGTTAGAAGTGGTGGAATTCACTGATAAAGCAACACAGCTTCATACATTGGATGTCCATGCTAATCGTCTACGTGGTCATTTGCCTGTAAACTTGATAACTTACCCAAACTTAACTGAGATAAACCTCGGACATAACCTGTTTTCGGGTCAGATTCCATTGGAATATTGGCCGAGGTTGGGTTTTGCATGGAGAAGTCTTGATTTGGAATATAACTATCTAGAGGGAACTGTACCCCGAGAGCTCAACAGAACGTTAGAAGGCGTTCGCGGAAGTTTTGCACGTAACTGTCTTACTTGTCCTAAGGGTTTACAGCTTTGTCAGGGAGGACAGAGGCCAGCTTCTGAATGTGTTGGAAAGAAAGGTGGAGGAGACCATAGTTGAAATATATAATATACCTTTTGAATGTCTTGAAATTTACTACTACTGCATTATATTATATGGAATATCTAATGTTTGTTTTCAAGGTTAAAATGTTTTCCTGTTTTCTTATATAGTTTTGAGTTGCAGCCTGTTATTTCAATAGAATATATAATAGCATGGGAATGAAGCAGATATCTTCCTTTTTTGTTTAATCAAGAAACCATTTTCGTTTCATCTTTTCTTGAGTTGAGGGTCTATAGGAAATTGCCTCTCTACCTTATTAAGGTAGGGGTAATATCTGCGTACACTCTACTCTCCCCCGACCCTACTTGTGGGATAACACTGGGATTGTCGTTGTTGTTGTCTCTTGTGACAACCCGCAACAACTAATTGTAGACAATCTAGTGTACACTGATAAATACCATGTCCCCAGGTATTTATCAATTGACAAAGGTTAAGGGACTTCTGTTTTAGGTCACAAGTTCGAGCCTTGCACCAAGCGAACTAACTCTGCTACTTAAGTGGAGAAGGGTAGAGGGGCGAGCCATCATCCCCCAGTTTCGAAGGCTGACGGATTTCTCGGTCATCAAAACACATTCTTTGCATTTCCTTTAGGATCACTGTGCCAAGAAATCTCCATTTTTTGTTAACTAGGAGAGGCACAGGTCATGTGTATGTAGTTTCTATTACAAGTTACAACTGATTACTTTGCTTTCTCTAAATGAAAAAGGAGATTTGTTGCTATGGCCAAAACTTGGCTTTACTTGAACTCAAGATCTTAATTTCTCTTATTTTGGCCAACTTTTCTATTTCCATTTCTCCTAATTATGTACACTCACCTACTTTTAGTTTGGTTCTTGAACCTAAATATGGGGTTAATCTTCTTGTTAAGAAGCTTTGATCAAGATATTGTTGAAATATTAAACTTCATTCATGCACTTTATTTGTTTAGTTCATGAACTAATATATTAAATGTATTCATTTACTCCCATCATTTCAATTTGTGTCTTTCTTTTCTCTTTATTCAAAAAGAATGCACTTTTCTTTATTTAGCTCTCATTTAGCCATAGATTTTGGCTTTAGTTTTTCTTAAGAAGAAAAAATTAAAAACATTGTTTGTTTATAAAATAAAATCATGTTTTGGGGGAAAAAGATTCAAGTTCCCAAAAACTGCCTAGTTTAGGGCAGTTATTGGGTGAAATTTTTTCATCCACTCACGAAACTTCAACTTTTCTTCAAATAAAATGCATGTCCAAACACAACTTTAACTTTCAAAAATTATTTTTCAACACAACTTCAAAAACTCTTTTTTCAAGTTTCAATCAAATCTATATCCAAACGCTAGCTTAGTAACACTACATTCGAAGGGTACTTTTGGTGCGTTTATTACTATATGACACATAGGATTGTTATTTACTTTCCCCAAAAGCTGATCAAGGATTTAAAGTGTATGAAAACTAGCGACTCCTTGCTTGCCGGAACACGCAACCCATTTGTGCCACTATTTCACCCTTTATAATATGTACATATTTCATGAATTTCTCAACACATACATGATCTAGGCCAAAATAAAGCTACATGATTATGTCGACCCTATATATATTGTAATCGTGGTAGCTTTGGCGTAACTGATAAAGCTGTCATGTCACGTGTTCGAGCAGTAGAAACAGTCTCTTGAAGAAATGCATGATAAGACTACGTACAATAGATCTTTGTGGTCCAGCCCTTCCCCAGACCCTGCGCATAGCGGGAGCTTTGTACACCGGCTACCCTTTTTTACCTCTGCACTCCCCTATGACCCATACCATGAACAAATTGCACATTGTTTTTAGTTTCCATAGGCAAGATGATTCATATGGCTACATATACAACCCAAGAAGTTTGTTAATGCGAGACGACCACCTCCTATGTTTCTCGCTTCAAGAAGAGAAGCCAATTCTAGTAAACATGATGCAAAGAATAAGTCAAGAACCATTAACCAGTTCAAGTCTATCATCAAATTAAGAAAGGGTATAAATGAGTAATCAACATCCACTCTATCGATGCAAATAGACAAATTTACAGACTCTTATCAGACTAACACAGCAATAGTTCCACAAGTAGTATAATGCTACACTCTCTCGCAATGGTCTTCTCTGTGGTGACGTATTCAGCATATGCTTAAAACGCTACAGGTTTGAAGGTCTCATGCTGCTCGAGTTTGGCCAATCTTGTATTGATGAGCATAGCCTTATGCCAGAAGCAAACAAATACAAGGAGCACCATTCGAAGGAGTTGGTTTTGACTGAATCATGCTGTTCTCCGCAAAAATAGAGCCAACATGTAAGACAAGGCAGAATCAATCGACGATAAAGCAATGATAAACAACCCAACTAGAACAAGTGCCAGTGTTGCAGTCTTCAGCTGCAACAAGTGGAGAAAAGATTAGTTCTACTGCATGTATTGATATCAAAGATAAAGAAACATTCTTTGGAACTATGCTTAATATCTATGTCAATCAAATCAGTGAAACTCAACATTGTATTTAGCATAGATACAGACTCCCAGGAACAAAATATTTTGGGTAAATAAATGTTTTCACTTCATTAGACAAAAATGGAAGAATTGTTACAGCTTCTGTTGCGGAAGCCAAATGTATAGAGTGTGAATAAGTCACAACTACTATACCAAAAATTATGACAGCCACCAAATAATAAATAAGACAATAAAGCAATAATAAAGGGAACACCAGAATTTACGAGGTTCGGCTAATTTTGCCTACTCCTCGGACACAACCAATATTTTATTCCACTCCAAAAATACAAGTGAAATAATACTAAAGAGAGAAGATACAAATGCCTTAAACAGATGAGAAGGCAAATGAGAGGTGTGTTTCAATCCTAAACATTAGGCCTTCTTTTATAGGGGAAAAATCCCCCCCAAACTTAACTCCCAACCAATGTGGGACTTTGGCATTTTGCCAAACTTCAACAGCTTCGACGTAGACGATTTGCAACAATTAGCATCAGAAATTCAAAATATAGCAACAGTTAGAGCAAATGTGCAGATACTTCAAAGGCGCCATAGTTATCCAAATATTCTTCTATTTGAAAAGCTGGCTCCAGCTATTTTCAGGTAAACTTGGATATTAAGACACTGTACAAGCCATATGCATAGGGTAGGGGGTCTACTTCCAACCGAGAGGTTGTGAGTTCGAGTCTCCCCAAGAGCAAGGTGGGAAGTTCTTGGAGGGAAGGATGCCGAGGGTCTATTTGGAAATAGTCTCTCTACCCTAGGGTAGGGGTAAGGTCTGCGTACACACTACCCTCCCCAGACCCCACTAAGTGGGATTATACTGGGTTGTTGTTGTTGTTGTTGTTGTGTACAAGCCATGCATAGTGCAACAAATGAAATGAGAAACTTAACTCGAGAGAAAGGAAAATTTTCTAAAACTACCGGCATAATGGTTCAATTCAAGGGGTTACATGCACAAGCAGATGGCATTATCTCCCTTCACAAGAGCGGAAAAACACCAATGCTGCAACAGGCTTGTCTCAGAATGGAAAACCAGCAGAAAGATATTGACAAAAGTAGCAATCAAATTACTTCTTCTGTAGTTTTGTCTCAGAGTCACCAACTAGAACTAGTTTTCATAGCACATGTCAATATGTGGCTCAAAACCAAGGCATTGTTAACTTTTTATACTTAATTGACAATGGAAATCAATCTTCACTGTTTTATAATTGTCTTTACTTTTTATTTTTCCAACCTGAAACAAGAGCATTTAGGCCATAGACAATGGAGTAACCAAAACAGTACTGAAAACTAACCAAGCCATATCGATACCGAGGAGGAACCGAGATGATTGGGACGGTTTCGAAAAGCCTAAATTTGGTTATACACAACGGAGTAACCAAAAAAGTGGCATGATATAAATTTTTAAAAATAACCAGCTGAACCGAACAATTGACACCCCTAGGTAGCGCTATAAAGACCATTAACTATTTATTAGCATTTGTTATTTTGTCTTGACAACAAGAGTTGAGCACACTAGAGTAACAAGCCAAATACAATGTAGAGCTTTGCTCACGTTATCAGCACCTAGTATTGGCCACATATTGCAACGGAAGGGAAATGACAATTACCAAATAGAAAGAAAAGATTATACACACTAACCATGCTTTGAAATTCAGGCCATTCTATGTACTTCAGCTGACTTGGCTGCTCAACCAGAAATAGTAGTATCAATTTTACAGCCCTGAGCCATTAAAAAATGGAACTTCAGACCATTATCGATACAACATCTAAAACATTTTATCTAGCAAAACTTTTAAAATTCAAATTATTAAAGGATCTCAAAATATCCACGAAAGTTAATTATTGAAAAAATGGATATCAAAGCGAAGGAGAAATTATTGGAGAAGCTAGTAAAATTTCAAACAAGTCATCAGATCCAGATGTGCAATGTTGATTCACGAGTCAACCAACACGATGAAGTCATCAAAACCAATATAGACCTTCTTGAAAAGGAAATCTCATATAAACAAGATATCAACGCCTATTTCTGGACGAACAACAACAACCCAGTATAATCCCACAAGTGGGGTCTGGGGAGGGTAGTATGTACGCAGACCTTACCCCTACCCCGAGGGGCAGAGAGGCTGTTTTCAGGAGACCCTCAGCTCAAGAACGCACCAAGTGACGATATATTAGTACCATCGATAGACTCATAATAAAATAACATAAAATACATA